GTAAATTCTTATACGTGGCAATTAAAGCAAATTGTAAGTTTACTCTAAGGGTTCAGGAGAGTGAAGGAGACAGAGATGTGAGGATCTCACAGAAGGCTGCTGTGTAGTTGGGTTTATCCTGCTAGAGTGATTTGATTCTGAACCTGTCAATTACCCACCCAAAAGTGATTTTTTTAAAAAAGAAAACTGTTAAAATAGAACACTGTTTAGAATTCCGAAAAGCATGGCCTGTATGTTCATTATTGCGCAGTCTGGTCAAGGTCTCTGGAATTTCTGTGAAGTAAGGGAGATGAGCTGCCAGGTGCCTTTGCCAGTGGGGCTGAGGCATTTCCCTAGCTACACTGTGGTTTTCTATCATACTGCCATCTTAAGAAATGTTTTTATTACATTTATTTATTTATTTGGAGGTATATGTGTGTGTCACAGTGTGTATGTGCAGGTCAGAGGCCAACTTGAAGTTGTAACGTTATCTGCTTCCATCATGGGGATCCCTGGGATTAAAATCAGGTCACTGGACTCGATGGCTATGTCCCTACCTGCTGAGCCATTTCACTAGGACAGCACCACTTTTTGAGGAGCTTCTTTCCAGTCAGTACATCCTTTGTCTTAGTTCTTTTCTCCTTCCTTCCCTCTGGTGAATGCCTGCTTTATGCTTTTCAGAAGGCTACCAGAGCCATTGCTTTAAATTGCTACACTTTAGTTTTATACCTGGTACCACCTGAGCAAAGGCCTACTGAAAAATTAATGCCACACACAGTGATTAATTATTTGCTTCAGTGGAGGGTACCCTTAGAAATATTTAGAAAATCCTTTGTATATGTGTGTTTTTTCCAGGTTCTTGTTATGACAAACAATGCTGCTGTGAGCATAGTTGAGCACATGTCCTTGTGGTATGATTGAGCATCCTTTGGGTATATACCCGAAAGTGGTATTGCTTGGTCTTGAGGAAGGTTGTGTCCTAATTTTCTGAGAAATTGCCATACTGATAACCAAAGGGGCTTCACCAATTTGCCCTCTGACCAGCAATGCAGGAGTGTTCCCTTTACCCCACAACCTCTCCAGCATAAGTTGTCATCAGTGTTTTTGATCTTGGCTATTCTTACAGATGTAAGATGGAATCTCAGAGTTGTTTTGATTTGCATTTCTCTGATGACTAAGGATATTGAGCATTTCCTTAAATGTCTCTTAGCCATTTTAGATTCCTCTGTTGAAAGTTCTCTGTTTAGGTCTGTACTCTTTTTTTTTTTTTTATTGGATTATTTGTTCTTTTGATGATCAAGTTCTTGAGTTCTTGGTATATTTTGGAAATCAGTTCTCTGTCTGATGTGCGGAGTATTGATATTAGTTCTTATTTGGAAATCTTGTAGAATTCTGAGCTGAAACAATCTTGACCAGATCATCTTGTTTCCTAAGAGAATGATTTCACACACACCCCACCGCCCCCCATCCCGGGCAGGAAGAGTCTGCTCCTCAACCCTGCTGTCTTCATCCAGTATGGATATATGGCAGCTGGACCCAGTGGAGGCTTGCATTCATTATTAAATGCTTCTTCTTTAGTTGGCCCTAGGCTGGAAGTTCAGAGTATATTTTTGGACAACTGCATTTATGCACAGAGGTCTGAAACTGATTTGAAGCCCCCGTGTTTCATTTAAAAATGTGGATTACAGTGTCTTTCTGCCAAAAGAAGAGACAGAAGAAAGAGAAAATAAATTCTGGACGTGATTTTATAGTAGCTGAATTATTTACTACAGGTTAATTTTCTGCAAGCACTCCAGTAAGCGATTGGGGAGGAAGAGCTGTGTGTTTTGGACATACTTAGCCCTGTTTCCAAAATATGTCTTTCCTTTAGTAAATATTTTTACCTCTCATACTTCACTTGTGAAATAAACCACTGTTTCAATTGGTTGTTAATATTATATTGTTAATATAGGAAGCATAGCAATTTGTTTTTAAAACCAGGTTATTACAGAAATTTTGAGGTCATGAAGAAAAGCAAAGAAAAGAATATTTTGGTGCTAATACTGAAGTACTCAATAAATCATTTAACAAACAGTCTTGAAAGTGCATGACAAAAACCAAGAAGAAAATATGTTTTTGTGTTTATATATAAATGTTCTATAAATGATTCTGTTAGCAGTGGTTTAAAAAAAAGCCACTGTAACAAGTTTAAATTATTCAACTATATAGGAGAATATGGCATATTTTTGCCAATATTATGCATTAACTAATATGCCAACATATTAGGACAATGGCACTGGGTTTTGATCCTACTGCATGTACTGGCTTTGAGGGAGCCTAGTCTGTTTAGATAAGCACCTTCCTGGACCTGGATGGAGGGGGGAGGACCTTGGACTTCACACAGGGCAGGGAACCCTGACTGCTCTTTGGACTGGAGAAGGAGGGGGAGGGGGGGAGGGGGAGGGAAATGGGAGGTGGGGAGGAGGCGGAAATTTTTAATAATAATAATAATAAAAAACCTAAAAAAAATTGTACCTCCCCCCAAAAAAAAAATATTTTGAAACAGGATCTTGCTAAGTTGCCCCCGTAGTGGCTTTCAGCTTGACATCTTCCTGCTTCAGTCTCCCTGGGGGCTGGAATTACAGATGTGAGTCTGTATTCCCGGCTCTGTCTTTAGCTTGAATGTGGTTACAGATTCACATGTGTATACATCTGCCAATATCTGTCAGTTTGGTATTTTCTACATGTATAGTAGAATGTTTTTCTGTTTTCCAATGTATAAACTAGAAGGGGAAATAAATTAACATTGTTAACAACAGTACCACAGACAACAGTTAACTAGAAAAAGAAATTTCAAGTTGAACAGAGCCAACTGAAAGCTCCACTTTCACATAAAAGGGACCACGTCTCATGGCTTTGCTTCCGTATGATTTTAATATTATTGTTTTAAACAGGGTTTCACTATGTAGCCATAATTAGCCTGAAACTTGGTGTGTAGACCATGCTGGCCTCAAACTTGTGGGCGATTCTTTTGTCTCTGCCTCTCAAGTGCTGGGTTTACAGTCCTGTCCCCTCACTGTCGGCTTCTGTCTTGAGTTTTAATTGATCAGGTAATTTTGTTTGAATTATCAACATGAGGGATTTAGAGTAGAGCAAATCTACTAGTCGCCTGCCCTGGCTGTGTGACTTTGGACAAGATAGACTCTCTCTGTTTGTTCTTCCTTCTTGTGAAACAGGAGGCATAGTAAGTGCTCACAAGATGGAAGCCATTGCTAGCACCCCCGTTTATTACATGTCTTGATTTCTCTGGGGCTCAAAGTTAGATGGTTTTGAGAAAGAAAATAGATTGTCTTAAATTCACAGGGGATTGGTTTTTGTGGAATTGCCAGAAAGAGGACCATCCCAGGAAGGGACAGGAGCTCAGATGAGTTGTGTTTCTTCTGTGTTCTTGGTAGGGTCATGAAGCAACTAGGGAACTTCCCCTCTGCTCTGTGCCTTCAGGTCACCTCTGCCCTTCTCAGGCATCATTGTTTTGAGTTTTTTAATCAAAAAGAAAAACTTTGCTAAATGATGATGATATCATGCTCAAAGGTACCATATTTCTGATTCTAATTGATTATTGAAGATCAATTCTGACATTTAGTTGGTATTGCTTTTTGCTAGTTGATATTAAAATATATTGGCCATTTAGTATAGGAAAAATGTTTGATATTTTAAATGTTTGACTTAAATGTGAAAGACTTTATTTTCTTACCTTGCTAGCTGTTAATAATTTATAAAACTGTCAACATGTGCTTTGAGGAGAGTGAAAGCTGGTCTTGTTTTCCTCACCTAAGCATTGTGGTTTGTGAAAACAGAACTTTGGGACTGGGTGGGGATCTCTGATTCAAGGGTTTGTGATAGATTGCAGATGTTAGCCAGAGAACAGACTAGGTTCTACAATAATTTCTTGAAACTTCCAGCAAGAAGAATAGGGAACTAGTAGAAATAGGTGCAGTGGGCCAGATCAAAGGGCATTTTTTTTTTGGTAATAGAATTTGAGGAAGGTATAAGCTGTGTGTATAGAATCTACTTGCCTAGAGATTAGGGCAATATTATGCCAGATAAACAGTGTTTGGGATTGGAAGGCATTCTGGAAGGAGCACTGCTCTGAATTGGTATGTTACACATGTTTTGTGTAGGCGGATTTTTCTTTGGGCCTCCAGCTCATAAATAAAGACATGGAGACTTATTATTTATGAAAGCTTTACCTTAGCTTAGGCTTGTTTTAACTAGTTCTTATAGCTTAAATTAACCAGTTTATATTAATCTACGTTCTGCCACATGGCGTTCCTCATCTGCATACTTACTGTCCATCCTGCGTCCTCTCAGTAATTCTCTCTCTGTCCCACCTATCTCTCTTGCCTAACTGTTGGGCGTTCTGCTTTTTATTATACCAATCACAGCAGTGTACAAGTATCCCACAGCAGCTCTGGGCTTAGCGAGAGCACTGACTGGGCATCTGGCATGATGGATTTCAAGTCAGCAGTTGCAGCATACACCCAGAAAGGAGCCTCTGCAGCAGGGAATTGATTCGCTGTTTGCTTTGCAAGCCAGCCTTAGGCCTTTGCAGTTGAACTTAGGACTTCCAGAATTGTTATTTCATCATTGGTATATACATTTGGGGGACAGTTTAGTGAAAGTGTAGTTTTATTAACCTTAACGTGCCACTATCACTTATAGAAACCACCAGAATCCCCTGCTTTTTTATGGTCTAGGCCTACTTTCCACCGACTTTGTGATTGCAGTGAATTGACAGGCGATTGATTTGCTTTTAGAGGGTCCTGGAATGGCACAAGATTCTTGTTTGTTTGTTTTTGAAAAGACACGTCCAGTTTTTCTAAGTTTTATTATTTATTGTCTTGCCCCAGCATATTGCAAATGATCGTGTTTGCTGTTTGATTTATTTAGAATGTTGTAATTGGTGTAGGTAACTGAAAGGCAAATTTGATACCAAGCAAGGGTAGACTGACTCAGTGTGCCTTTCCTCTGGGTTTCTGCAGGGCTGGAGGTCCGGTGGGTGGATTGTTACTTTCCCTTCACCCACCCTTCCTTCGAGATGGAGATCAACTTCCATGGAGAATGGCTTGAAGTCCTTGGCTGTGGAGTGATGGAGCAGCAGCTTGTCAATTCAGGTAGGAAAGAACCCGGAACTACATTTACAGGTTTCCTGGAGGGCCTGCATATTCTCATGTTACCTCATTTGCATAAATACCTGCAGTTGCGTCACCAGGGGCAGCATCACCAACCTCTCCAAGAATGCTCATGAGACCCATGTCTGATGCTGTCCTTGTCACTCCTCGTTTTGCAAATGTGTCTTATCTTTGGATATCCCCCTTGTCAACTGTTGGCAGCTAGATTTGGAGCTTAGGATTCTGTCCTCATTGGGAGCATTGGGGAGGGTTTTGTAATTGCCCCAAAGGCATTTATATATGTGTCACATGAGTGCAGTTTGTCTTCCCAGCTATTCAAGAATAAAACTAATATATAATCCTCTTTTGTTGTTATTGCATTCAGTTCAGTAGCCAGAATTCAGGAGAGATTTTATAACTACACTACAGCATGAAATAAAACCACACAGGTCCATGATACCTAGTTGCTCCCTTCTGTCAGCAAAGGTATTACCATCAAGTGAAAGAATCTGGAAAGACATGTAGCTAATTAAATTCTAAACAAACTTGAGAAAGCTCTTTGCAACTCTTTTTCTGGGGGACCATTGCCTAATAGAAATGATACCATTTAGACTTGGTTTCAGAACTGTGCATTTTAAAAATATGACTATGAATGTAATTATGAAAGAACTGTTTTTAAGAGGCTAGGAATATAGCTTAGTTTGTCAAGTCTTGCCTAACATGCATAAAGCCCTGGATTTGATCCCTAGCACTACTTAAAACATGGCGGTGTAGGGCTGTAAACCCAGTACTCAGAAGGTAGAGAGGCAGGATATCAGAAGTTCAAGGACATTCTCAGCCATGTAGTGAGTTCAAGAGTCGCCTGTGATACATGAAACAGCCTCAAACACTCTAAAATAAATATGTATATGCATGTAAATATATATTGTAGAGTCTGATGTTTTTAGTGAATGTTGAGAGACTAATCAGTGAAGCACCAAACAGAGAGGTACTGATGTGGACTTGTGCCTGCTCAATGTTCCCTACCATCTACATTTTGGCCCTGGAAAAGGGGCGTTTGCTTTGTGGTCTTAAAAGGCAATTTTGGATTGGGTACAGAGCCCTCATTTTCAGTGTAGACAAGAATAAGTCATTTCCCGTTGGACAGACTATGATTAAGGGCATGGTACCAGTTCATGATGAGGTGAGACTGGAGACGGAGGTGGTATGAGTGTTGGAACTGTCCTTGGATAAGAGGCTGAATGCCTGGTCACTCTTTTTATTCTCGTTACTGAGGCCTGCTTCATCTGCTAAATCACTAAAATGATGAATTTTGAAAAATAAAAAGAATTCATTCCTGAGAGGTGGCAGGAGCTCCAATCTCTAATCTGCCTCCTTGAGAATAGGGCTGTAGAATATATATGGGTTAAAGGAGTGGATGGTTGAGAAAGAGAGAAAGGGGATTAAATACAGGGTAAGGGAGAGTGAACTGATCAGTCTGCTGTCCATGAGTGGTTGTACACGTGGCTCTTCCAAAGATGCATATTCTGAAAATGTTGTTTGGTTTTTCTGAAGGTGGAGTTTTGGGTCTTTAAGTCAAGGTCACTCATCAGATGTGGATCTGAATTAAGGCTTGATGTCTTCAACCTGGTTGTAGTAGCCCAAAGTGCTCCAGGTCCTGGAAATGGCTTAAGCAATTGGCATGGCTTAGGGCAATGACCACATCTCAGCAACGTTACTGTTTAAAGCTCGTGGTTGTACCATGTTTATATGTGATTTCATGATTGATGACTGATGATGATGACAGCAAGTGATTTGAAGCCAGGGGAGCCTCAAATCTATCCAGGCATCCCCTGGCTTTTCTTCTACAGAGAGTGGATCTCTGCACATAGCCAAAGGCTTCATAGGCAGCTTTAAAATGTGTGAAAAGCTGACTGACAAGTGATTTTATTTTCCTGAATATCGGCATCCCGAAGAGACTGGCTGTATATGCAGCATCCCTGTTGTTTAACCATGCTGTCTCCCTGCCCTTCCAACGTATTCTCCCTTTCTTGGTTCTTGGTCTCTGCTTTCCCTTTCTGCTCTGTATTTCTCCAGTCATTTCTCTCACAACAGAGAACTGGAAGAGAGAACTTTGTTTTGTTTTGGTGTTTTTAAGATCAGGTCTCATGTAGCCCATGTGATCCTTACAGTAAGTTTACTGTATAGATGAACTTTGAATTCCTGCTTCTCCTGCTTCATCCTCTGCATGCTGAGATTACAGGTGTGCACTACCACAACCACCTTAAGAAAAAACTAGAAACAACATCATGATACTGTACCAGTTTTAGGTCTTGTAGAAGATTGGGTGCGTGCCTAGATCACCGGAAAGCAAAGGTGCCCATAATGAAGCAGTAATGGCTAGTAGCAGACGTCATCTGAGCCCTGATCATGCACTACTATTTCAGAACATATGCTTTTTATGCTGTCTCCTTTATAAACATGCAGGCAAAACTCTGAGGTAGATTTTGCCATAATCCCCATTTTTTATTTTGTCTGTGACAGGAGAATCTGATCAAATAGCTAGCTTCTAGTATTTAACCACTGTCGTGGTGGTTTATTTTTCAACTTGACACAAGCTAGTTGTCTGGGAAGTGGGACCTCAATTGTGAAAATGCATCCATCAGATTGACCTGTGGGCAAGGCTGAGGGGCATTTTCTTGATGAAGATTGGTGTGGGAAGGCCAAGTTCACTGGGCTGGTAGGCCTGGGTTGTATAGGAAAGCAAACTGAACAAGCCAAGAAGAGCAAGCTAGCAGATAGAATTCCTCCATTATCTTGGCTTCAGTTCCTGCCTCCAGGTTTCTGCCCTGAGTTCTTGCCCTGACTTCTCTTTATGAAGGATTGCAAATTATAAAATGAAGTAAACCTTTTCTTTCCAGGTTGCATGTTGTTGTGGTCATTAGCACAGCAATAGTAATCAAACTAAGAGAGCCACCAGGTTATGCTGCCCAAATAGGGAAGTGCATGATTTTGCAGAGGTCAAAAATTGATTTGGAACAACCAGTTTTTCATAACATGAAATGAAGAATGGATACCAATGGAACAGATGGAGCACACCTTTTCACTTGTTTTATAATCAGCTTCCTTAGAAGAAGGGCTCTGCTACCTTGTATGTCATCTATGATAGAGTACATATTATTTTTTTAACATAGTTTTTCTGTTGATTCTTTTGGGAATTTCACATCAAGCATCCCAATTCCACTCACTGCCGGGCCTTTCATGTACATCTTCTACTCTTGTATTCTCTCCCACAAAAGAAAGAATAAGCCCACTTTGCTCCTCCATCTTGCTTCCCTCTCCATCACAAATCCTTTGTCAAGGTGGCCTTGGGAGCTGCTGTGTGTTGCACATTATACCCTTTTGCATGATCTGCTTTAATTGCAAATGTTCATTGCAATAAGTTGTTTGTCTTGTTCACAGCCTCTGTCTTCTGGTACACTGTCAATACCGGACCCTAATAAAACCCCTCTTGGATAGGTATTCTTGCTGTTGTCCTGAGTAATGGAGATTTGTGGTTAAAGCTGAACAGAACTGGTTCCTTCATATATTCCAGCAGGTCATAAATAGGTAGATGTTGGAGTGGGCCAACTCAAAATCCTGGACGATAGGCCTGGGTGGTAGCTGAGTTGGTCAGACAAGACCCCTGCTAGCACTGCCCCTCTTAGGTGAAGGGCAGGGCCAACTTCCCTGCCTCTTGAGGCCAGGGAGGGGCATAGCCAGCTATCCCAGAACCAGTTAGTTCATCATGGCCCTAGATTATCAACGTGGCTTTAGGCAGCAGTCCAGACCTCTGGCATCTGCATGGCCTTTGCTGGTAACAAGGACCCAGGATCTCAACATGGACCCCAGATGCAGTAGGGCCATGGTACCAGACATGACTGTGGTGGCAACACAGGTCCAGATATCCCATGACCTCAGGTGTCACTGCAGTCCTCTCGCATCAGCCTGTTCTCCACCACTGTCATGTCTCTAGTTCCGCCTCTCTTCACGGCACATGAACTGCTCTGCTTGCTTCTCTTTCTTTCTACCAGACATTTACTCATTATAGTGGCACCCTGCCTGTGCTGCCTGGTGGTGGCAGTGGTCCTCTGGCCACTGTCTCTACCTTAGATGACAGGCAGGCCTACAGTGCATATTCTAAAAGCATGAAACAAGCTTGCTAATGTGCATGCACACTGCAGTTGGCCTTGCTATACATGTTTTTATGTCTAGAGCATGTGTTTTCCAAGTGCCTCACAGAATTGTATCTTTTCTCGTCTTCCTTGTATTCTATATATTCACTATGACGTTCAGGCTCCTAGACTTAGTAATTGTGATGTGAGTGTTGTCTATTCTCTTGATGATTTGGCTAACCACCTCACACCCCTTGGTGCTTTGAGGATAATATTGAGTCATGTCCCAGTACTACACAGTTTCCTGCTGGGATGACTCAGGCTGATTCTCTCTGTTCATAAGGGGTATGGGATGCAAACATCTAAAGGCATCATCAAGGGATGATGACTGGATAATGATTGTGCCAGGAAGGAATTTCTCATTCATTGATGCCTTGTGAAGTTCTGAAGATTATACATAGACCAAGGCAGAGAGAAAGGTCTATGGTAGAAAGTAACTTAAAATACTGAATCTTTGTCTCTGGTGGCTAATCATGCTTGTCAACATGACCACACCTGGAATCAATTAGAACCTAGGCTGTTGGGTACACCTGTGAGAGATTTCATTGATTGGCTCATTTGAGGTGGGGTGGCCCACTTTAAATCTGGATTACTTCAGGCCAGAAGACCCTTTAGATGGAATTTTCTATCCTGCCTGGTCCCACAGCTGTTCAGCTCCAAAGAAACACACAGAGGCTTATATTAATTATAAACTGCTTGACCTATTATCTCAGGCTTATTATTAACTAGCTCTTATAGCTTTATTAACCCATAATTCTGGTCTATAGTTAGCCACAAGGCTTGGTACCTTTTCTCAGTAAGGCATTCTCA